TAATAATAATTGCTGCATCTTCCATTTTAATTAAACTACTGCTATCTACCTTTCATTCGCACACCTAATTGAATTGATTTTTATTTCAAAAAAATTTGTTACCAAATCTTTATCATCTTTGTAAAGAGATTTCCTTTGTCCAATTCATTTGACTAATAACGTTTTAAATTTCCTATATAATCTCCTCAAGATGAAGATTATCCAACTGGCAGTTAAATTAACAAAAAAAAATTTTTTTTCTCTAATAGAAGGAAGGTATTTGATTATTGAGCGAAACAAAAGAAGTGTCAATATTCTTTTTCATTTCATAAACTCCAGGAATTGAAAAATCCACTCTTTGGTTACCCAATTAAAAATTTTTCGGGAACATCTATTCAGATATTATTGATAGACACCCAAGCCACAATTTTTCTTGTGCAAAAAAATGTTTGGGATGAAATATCTGCTCAATGGGCCGACAGAGAATGATATTTCACACCAAGAGCCTAATTCCATCACTCTTGCTCCCCGGATTTCTACTTGCAAAGTCGGATATAAAAAGGTCAATAAAATTATGAATATTATTAACTGTTGATTCTATTAAATTCTATTAATAAAATAATTAAAAGAAGGTGAAATATAAAACTGACAAGAACTGAAAAAAGAGATTTGCATTTGAAGTGTTTTTACAACTTTAAAGGAAAATTTTATTAGGCTAAGTTGGTGTGGTTTCTAAGATAACAATATTCTTTAAGACAATATTACATATATAGACATGACATTAACTTGAAATTGATAAAAATCCCAATGTGTACCTTTCTGCTTGTTGCATCCCATATATTTTTTTTCATTGAAAATAATGAAATCATCTCTTAAATAATTTTATTCTAAAAGGTAATTGTACTGAAGAATTATTAATACCATTAGAAAATGTAACGTTTTTTTCAAAACCAATATCATATAAATTTTTTGGTAACAATTGATTTAAAACCTCAAGTGTTTCATCACCATCTATTCCACTATTCCAGGTTAATTTTCTTAATTCTATGTATTTTAATTTTTTGCAATCATTAATTATTTCAATTAATTTTTGATCTAAATTGTTATTATAGCTTATTCTTAAATCCTCTAGGTTATGGCATTTTTGCTTAATTGAATTTAATAGTTCTTTTGAATAATTTATATTTCCATCAATATTTATGGTTATAAGGTTTTCTCCATTGTTTTTGATAAATTCTGACAGGTCTAACAGAAAAGGTTTTTTATAATTAAATACTTCCACAACTTCAATAGTTGGAAGTGAAACAGATCTTAAATATTCTGTATGAATATTTTTATAATTAAAAAATTTTAAGCATTTTAAATTTTTTAATGCTGGTATTAATAAATGATCAAAATGAATTCCTCCATCACTTGAATATTCAATTATTGATTCTGAATGAATTAATAATGCTTTTCTGAGTTCAGCTGATAAAGTTAGGTCTGTTAATGCAGAAATAACCAACTTTTTGATTCGATTTTGTGCTTTAATTAATTGTGCCAGATTATAATCATTTCCATTATTAATAAAATCATTATGACGCAATCTTAATACTTTAATGTTTTTACAAGTTTGTGCCAATTTATCAAATAATTTATTATTATCAAAAGATTTACATTGTAATTCACAAAGATTTTGAAAGCAAATACTAAATCTAGGATGATTAATTGGCCATTCAGAAACAATGCCATAATCAAAACCAGTAGTTCTAAGTATTCTGATAGTTTTTGAATAATCTAAAATAAAGTCTGTCGACCTTTTCTTTAAAAGGCTAATTGTTGTAGGATTATAGCCACCTATTAGCTTTGTAAACTTATTATCAATCTCCCAAAATTTTAAATCAGTTGCAAACTTTGCATAATTGTATAATGGTGGATTTTCAAGTAATTCAAATTTATCTAATTCGATGTTGTTGTTTTTTAAAAATTCTTTATCTTCTACCAACAAACAATTAATTAATATTTTGATACTATCGGTAGAGTACAGCGGATCTCTCCATAAAGTTGAAATGTTGATATGGTGCCATAATTTATTAACAAGAATGCAAGAATATAGCGTTTTATAATCATCTTTGATATATGTAAATGTTTCCTTTAAAAGTTCTAGTGGTAAAGTTTCTCGAAACATTTTTTTTTGGTAAAAAAAAAAAAAGATAATTATATTTGTATATTTGTGTTATAAGATATCTATTTTAATAAATTCAGATTTTTCATTTATCATTATATATTAATATATATAACACGAGTTTGATCGTCTCGCTTTTACTGGATAAGAATTTAAGTATCTATCTCGATTTATTACATGCAATGCCATGTTTATGAGTTGTATATATATAAATGAAATGAATGAACTGTATGTAAAGCATAAGTGTTTTCATGCGAAACATGTTTATAATATATTATAATGAATTTCTTCGGGATTAAATTAATGAATGAAAATTAAATTCATAATATGCTAGTGTCACATGCTCCCACTTTTATTCGACGTTGGGAAAAAAATCGTGAAAATCTGAATTTCTTCAAGTGCCACGCCCTGGTGGGAAAAAATCGTTTTGCGGAAAAAATTTTCACCATATGCGGACGATTTTCGGGTAGGTCCCTGTGTTCGGAGGGATACAGCTTTAGCCTGGCGAGGGATAAATATAAATGCACGGATATATCTCTGATCACCTGGTCGTAGATCTTGAGTGAATTATCCGACCGATACCCAAAGATCGATAAGGGGGGATATCCCGCTTATATGTTTTCCCAGGCTGAAGCTCTATCCCTACGAACTGAGGGATAAAAAGATGTAATCTTTCAGAAATTGTCCGCATGGGCTGAAAAACTTTACTAATTATTTCCTTTTCAAGTTAAGTAGATTCGTTTTATATTAACCTATTATAGGGCTCACTTGCAGATTTTCACTATCATTGTAGAAAAACGATTTGTGTTGTAATTTCTTTAATTCAACGGCAAATTGAAACGATATGGAATTTGATTATGCGATAATAATTTCTTCGCATTCTTCATTCACTGTCAAGGATGGTCAACAAGCATTATTTACAAAGTTTTTAAATAAATGCTGAAATTCTCATTCAATTATTAACTTTCTTGAATATTAATCGGATTCTAAGGCTATTTGACACAAATAAATAATATGGAGCCCGAATTCAGAAGTAACACAGGACTCCAATCTCATAATTTTTTTTGAGATAGCAGAAAAATATCATCACGATAAAGTTAAAACTAAAGTTTAATTTTGAAATAACAAAATGCAATTATATAACCAGCTTAGAAAAATTATTGAGATAAATTATCAGCTAAATACTTACATATGCTTATGTCCTCTCTTGCATAAGCCAGATGAGTCAGGTTTTGATAGTTCTATAGCGGATTTTGAAAATGCCGCAAAGTATTATGGAATGGGAGGGAAAGTGTTAGAAATAGCAGGAGAATTCAAAGATGCTATAGATTTTTTTTGATAAGGCAATAGAATTGGGCAAAAAACAAGCTTGTGGAAATAATCGCCTGCGTGATCTTTATTATCATAAAGCTGTTTCTCAAAAGAATGCAGGTAAATGTGAAGAAGCATCGGACTCAATTGAAAAGGCTATGAGATGATATTACACTAAAGCGGGAATATTACAATTATTAAGCGAAAACAAGTAAGCATTAAAAATTTAGATAAAGTGAAAAGAAAAAATTTTCAGGGTCCTCCTATCCGAAATTAGTATCAAAAATAGTAAAGCATTCTCCTCAGCCAGTTATATGGCTAGTGTTTTATATGGCAGAAAACCAAATCTCAAAAGAAAAGCAATAAAAACCCCTGAAAAATCACGTTTTTCAATTTGAGTTCAAAAATTTCTTTAACTTCTGGCATATAAATATTTTCTCATCTTTTATTTTAAAGAAACTTTTTTTCTGATAAAGATCATTGAATTGTTTTCTTAAATGTCATGAATTTATAATAATAAAATGCAAAATATAAAAAGAACAGTTATTAAACTAAACAATTTCTGTATCACAAAATCAAGAATTGAAAAGAAACTAAACAAGGGAAAAATTAAATCCAAAGTAGAAACTTGCAATAGTAATTCAATTACCAAGGTAGAAAATCAAAAGCCTATTTCAAAAATCGATGGAAATTGACAGCTACAAGCAAAAATTTGAGTGAATTCACATGGCAAGTTAATGTGGAAACCATCGAGAAATGTATTTACTTCACTGTTTACTGCATTTAACATTTTACAATGAGGACAAATCAAAGGCTTTATTATTGATCTTTTGTGTAATATTTACGTTTTAAGTTTTAAGAAGAATAAGCAAAGATATTACTTCTTTATAAAGTAAATTGCATAAATTTTAATTCCTGTAATTTAATGCTGTTATATTAAATATCACCATGATGTATATATAAAACTATACATGGAATGGCAATTACCGTAAATAAGTAATTCGTAATTATCATAATTAATTACCACTTTTCCTCTTTAAAAATGTAATTACGAAATTAATTACAAAACTAATTACGGGCGACGAAATTAATTATGAACAAATGCTTTTGGAAGAATGTATTTTTAAATTATTTTGTGTTTATGTGGATCAGAATAAATAGGTTTATTAACAAATTAATTTTTATTAACAGATAATTTTGTTTTATTTTATTTAGTCGAAGCTAATCAAGCTATTTCTAACTTATAAAACTTATTACAAAATTATTTTTACAGTAGGTCGATTTCAAGTTCCTTATAAACATGTTAATTAATTAGTAGCCCGTGGGTTATTTAGCCTAACATGGGATATATCACCCACTACGGGCTATTTTAACCCATTCAGGGTTATTCTGCACCAACGAAATAGCCCATATGGGCTACATCATCACGAATTTCTCTTGATCTGCAATGTCATGTGACTGATATATTAACATGTTAATCATTGTCGTTTTAGACATTTTTATAAATAATCAATGAACGGGGAAGTCGGTTTAAATTATTAAAAAAATGAATTCTGAAAATGAGAAAGACACCTTAAGACCTAGTAGTGTCGCTGTTGTAGGTGGAGGACTTGTCGGTACTCTTGCAGCAATTTACTTTGCAAAACGTGGTTGGTCAGTCAGTTTATTTGAACTTCGTAAAGGTAAAAAATAAATATAAAATAAACAAATATACTTTGACATATACAAATCCACACTAATCACCATATTCAGATGTTAGGATTCCAGAGAATAAAAATAATGTTATAAACAAATCAATCAATTTAGCACTTTCAACAAGAGGATTAAGTGCATTGGCTGAAGTTGGATCAGATTTTGTGAAAAAGGTTTTGGATAGTGGACTTCCGATGAAAGGTAGAATGATTCATGTAGATGGTAATGGTAATAACACTAAACTTGTTAGTAACATATATGATGTTGTTTATAAGGTAACGAATTAAGATCTTTGATATACTGTTAATAATATAAAAATATTTATTTATAAATATGTTTCTTTTTTACTTTAGAGATGCATATATTCAGTAGAAAGAACAGCTCTCCTTGAATTATTATTGGATACAGCTCAAACATTTGATAATGTTAAAATATATTTTGAGCATCAATTGAAAAGTTGTGATTTTGATAATGGTTCACTTCAATTTAAAATTAGGCAAGAAATGAATTGTTTTTTGATTTTCATATTTAATTTTAATAATTTAATAATTAGTTGATACAATATTCAAAAATATTTATTTAATAGATCAAATGAAACGGAAGTTAAATACAATGCTGATTTGATAATAGGAGCTGATGGTGCTCATTCTATTGTTAGAAATCAATTAATGCGTGTTGTCAGGTATGGACTAGGTATATTATATTTACATCTGCTATAATTATTGGAAGAAAATGGAAAATAACTTTATTTGAAAATTTTTTTTATTATTATAAATAAATAAATAAATTAAAGAATGAATTTCCAACGTGAATATATAAATCATTTATATTGTGAACTTACCATTCCTCCAATAATTAATGAGAATGAAGAAGAAGAATATGCAATTGATCCGAATTATTTACATATTTGGCCAAGACATTCATTTATGATGATAGCTTTACCAAATAAGGTTTGTTAATTATCGTTTTTAAATAATTTAAGAGAGTTTCCATTAACATTTTATTTTTCTTGTTTCCTTTTAATTAATTAAAAAAAAAAAAATAGAATAAATCATTTACATGCACTTTGTTTGCGCCAAATGAAAAATTTGAATCAATTAAAACAAATGATGATTTGATTTTATTCTTTAAACAATATTTTCCCGACTCTATTCCTTTAATTGGTAAAGAGCAACTTCAACGAGAGTTTTTTGGGAACCCAAAAGAATTTCTTTTTTCTATTAAAGTAAAAATTTTTTTTAATTATTAATTTTTTTTAAAAAAGTTTATTAATTAATTAATTGTTAATCAATTTTTATTAGTGTAATCCTTATCATTACAAGAATCGTGTTGTAATATTAGGTGATGCAGCTCATAGTATGGTTCCTTTTTTTGGGCAAGGTATGAATTGTGGATTCCAAGATGTTGAAGCACTTGATAAGATTTTTGAACAATACAAGATTTCGCCTTTTAGAAACAACAACAATGTTGATGACGATAATAAAATTGCAAAGGCTTTAGAAATTTATACTACACTTCGTCATCCTGATGCGATAGCCATATGTGATTTAGCAATGTATAATTATATTGAAATGAGAAGTAATGTTATAAATCCTTGGTTTTTGATAAGAAGAAAATTAGAAAATTACATGCATCGATTATTTCCTCAAAGATTTTTGCCATTGTATCAGATGGTCACATTTTCAACTATGAGATATTCTGAAGCAATAAAAAAATGGAAAAATCAAAATTTTTGGCTTAATACTGCAGGAATAAATTTGATGATAATTTTTTTGATATTATTATTAAAACAATATAGGTTCAGAAAGGGAGTATTTAAATATTTAAAGAAATAATTTATTTGTACATATAATGTTATTATAAACATAAAATTATTTTAATTATTAATATTAATATTTCCATCATAGAATTTAGAATATCATTCTAGCTCCCAATATATAGATGCTTTATTTTAAAAATGTTTATACTAACAAATGGTAAATTTGGTGATGTCTTTTGAGAGAGGAAATCAAGATATATATAGCTTTCATTATTTTTACCTTTTTATTTAAATAATTATATCATGAAACAAGTCTTCGTGAATATCGATCTGTTATTGCTCTTTCTTCCCTACCAACTCCCAATAAATGGAATGAGTGAAATACACTATCTATGACAAATTGCTCCTTAGCGTGATATATAAATCTAAAAATAATGCTTGATGTGAAATTTTTCTGGTTATGGATGCCATCTCAATATTTGAAAAATGTTCTTAAAATGTCGGTTTTTTTTTCTGATTACATCACTTTTTATCTACATGATACACAAACCCTTTTGAAAATTCATTATCTTTAAAATGCTTTGCGTAAGACAATTATTAATCTGACTCGGGATTTTCGTCCATAAATACATTTTAAATATGCTTTAAGACCTTGTTTTCTTATAAATGCAATTTTATCTGTAACCTTGCAATGTGTTCAAAGTTGAAAATAAATTCGAATGAATCATAAGTTTTTGCAAAATACGATTCGAATCTATAAATAATTTTATTTGACTTGGCTCGAATCTAACTAAATGAAGTAGTTTTAATTTTAAGAGTTTCCTTCAGAAATAAATGGTTTCGAAAGTCAAAAAAATATATTTGACTTTTCCATCCACAACTGTGAAATGGCTTCACACTTCACTTCTTGTTCTTCACTGAACACATTGCAACTGTAAATTATTTTTATCGTCATTAATATTAATATGTAAAATTTTATTATTCTTGTTCGTTTTGTTCGTTTTATTATTTATTTTATTCGAATAGAAAACCTATAATGTGAATAATAAAATAAAAAAAATGATACAGGCGAATAATAATAATAATAATAATAATAATAATAATAATCGGGTATTTACGATTATTCGATTATTATTATCAAAATTTTGATTTGACTGATTATTATTATCGACCGATTACAAAAAATATTCGATTATCTACTACGCGAATATTATTATCGCTCAATTATGATCAATGCTGCAAATATTAATCTGATCTTTACAAAATAACCATTCTTTTTAAGAATTGAAAGAAAGGTCGAACATTTAGAAAATGAAGTTGCTGAATTGAAAAAATAATTGAAAAAATGATAAGTAAAAGATCTCACAATAAAAATGCTAGGTTATATACCTTGATGATAAAATTAACTTCTTTGAAATATTATCTGCACAATATTCTATCTTTTTTTATACGTAAATCATCTGTCCATATTATGGTTTTACAATACTACTAACTCTTCTACTACTACGCCAACACTAGTTCAGGTAAAAAATGTAATTACCAAGAGAAAAGCAAAAGAAAATACTTGAGAAGAAACCAAACAGAAGATCAGACATATAGCAACAATGAAAACACCATCATTATTTTGCAAACCCATGAAATGTTAAAGGCTCAGAAAAAAGAACCCCTTGTTTACAATTACAGGCCACGTGCAAGTACACCTATTACATTATATAATAGAACACATGCATCTTTTCAAACAAGTTGTCACCAAATTGAAATTATGAAAGATGACTGTGGATCGGTCATAGAGTCAGTTGAATTGATGGCGAAAGTTTTCAAATATGAAAATGAAAGACATCTAATTATCTTAATGAACCTGTTGATACCGCTTCCTGCCAACCATCAAGAAGCTGATATAGGCTCTGTTGTTATCATTGTACTCTTTGTTGGAGAAATAAAAAATGAGATTGGGGAAGGGAATTGATGTGAATGTGTGCGGGCTTGCGCATCTTATGCAAAACGAATTGCCTTAAACGGAAGTAATGTAATACGTCAAGGTCTTAACACTGCTTTCCTTCTCTACCTCGTAGGTCCTTATCTTGGCGTTAGTGGAACTGTTTTAGGCAAGGAATTCACGATGGAACCTCTCACGCCAATGTTCCCACTTTTGTTATGAAGAATGACTAAAGCGCAATGGAATCACTTACTGGCATTGAAAGTTTGGGATCAGAGAATTAAAGAATTATTATCTAACATTCTATGAACAAGTTCGATATATTGAGAATAATACTCTTTTGCGACCTGAAAACTTTTCACAGTTCATGATAGAAGAAACAAGTTTTACCTTTTCTTATGTGAAACATAATGAAAAAATTATTGTTTTTAATGAAAGGATTATCCGATGCTTTTTTGGATAAGTTGATATTAGTGAAATTTGTTAAAAGATATGGTATAGATGCTCATATTTATTGTGCAGACCAAGAAATAGCTATTACTATATAAAGAACATTAAACCGTCCCGAAAGTTTTGGGGGCGCTTGTTAATCTTTAGCTAGAAATTGCTAGCAAAGTAATTAAGAAACGACATATTTCCCGTGTTACAAAATTTGGGCAAAGCTAAACAATAAATAAACAAAATCTTTTATTATTATCGAAAAAAAAAATATCAATAGTTGATTTTATCAAATTTAGAAAAAAAGGGTATTACAGCAATTATATTATTCTTTTCTTGCGTTAAATATCGTTTAATATAAACGTTGAGGTTTACCCATCGAGGATTTAATATATAAACTTCTAACATTTTGCCAATTCTTCTTAAGTAGAGAAACCAAGAAATTAATGCTCAACATTATATTTGCAACTAATTCATCTTCACTCATATTAACGTGGCCAACTGCTACTCCAAGACATAAAACTTTTTTAAGTTGGAATTTGATGGTGGAACGTAACTCATCTGCTTTAGCATTTAAATCATCATTATGAGTTACAGGTGTTGGAAATTTTCCAGCTAAAAAATTTTTTCCATTAAAAAGTTAATGATTAATAATAAATTAATTGATTAATTAATTAATTATATTAATGGTGACAATGGTAATAATAGTGAGATTATGATTACCTTTATGTAATCCAGGTCCTAATAATCTTGGAATTTGTTTAATTAAAGATTCACTTGCTAAGAATGCATCATATTTTTTAGCAAGTTTTTTAATAAGTTTTTTGTTCTTGTTGAGTTTTTTAAGATCATCTACACTTAAGAATTCAAGGCCGATTTCTTTAGCACGATCACAGTCATGCGCATCACCTAAAACAGCGACAGAAAGTTTTGGACGTGGAAGATTTGGAAGTCTATAAAAAAGTTTTTTTTTGATAACATGATATTAATATTAATGAATTGATGATAAATACAAAATAATAATAACAGTAACTTTAATTTACTTGACAGTTCCACTAAAACGTTTGTCTCTTTGAGGATCATAATTTTTCAAACCAATTTGTAATTCAATTGTTTCAACAAATTTACGCTTTTTAGCTTCAGATTCACCTAAAACAGTTCTGATTGACTCCCTCACGGCTGGCACTTGAACTTTACTGATAATAACAATAATAATTCATTAAAATTTCAGTTTAATTATTATTTTTATTATTTTTTAAATAAATAATTGAGCAAACCTCATGATGGATGTTTAATTTTTATATGAAAATATTTATATTTTGATCTTTTTTTTTTTTTTTAAAAAAATCTTTGTGTAAAACTTATTGTTACACCTATCATATTTTACATACATCCGCGTCGCGTTCGAGCTGTAAATAAGCCAAGTAATAATTAAAGCTAAACATGGTTTACATTCGAAATCAATAAGTTATAGAAAAATAATTTAATAATTTTTCAAAATATAAAGCATTTAGACTTGAGTCATATATATAATCAACAAAAAATGAACATTATGGCACAGTTTAAAAAGAAAAAAACTTGCCAAAGGATAAAAATATTTATCTGGCTAAAATATTAGCAAGGATTTTAAAATTAGAACCGAATTGTAGTAACAGCAATAGTAGTGAAAATATTGGTAAAATTAAACATGTCAACAGATATTGGATTGATTGTGTTGGCATTGACATATTGATGTAAAGTTATAGGTGTTTGTATATTCGCTTTGAGAAATTTTATTTAGTTGAAATTTCAAAAATTCAAATAATGATGAATGTTCATTATTATTGAAACAAAATTGAATACCCGTGTAAAAAATTTCTATGTTCTTTCATTCTTATCAATTTTTTATAAATTTTTAATTTTTGTTTGCTTTTGATCCTCAGTTGTTTGACTTATAAGCACCAGCTGCAAGACATAAATTTCTCCTTGTAAATTTAATTTCATAAACTGGTGTATTTTTAGTACATAACGTATTCAGCAGATCCCTATAATAAATAAATAATAAATATATTAATCTTACAATCCATTCGATAATGGTTATATATATAAATTTGTAATAATGACATTAAAAAGAAATTATTATTATTATTACTTTGATGGTTTTACGCTGGCTCCTTTGGGTTTTTTATTCAGTAAAGATGTGTTATTTGTATCCTCAACATTATTTTTTGAACTGTTTGCTGTTGATGATGATGGTGATGAAGACGAATGATCACCATCAACAGAATCAACTGAAATACCTTTTAAAACGTCCCAAATTCGAATAGTTTTATCTGCACTACCAGAAACTAAAATACTACTTTCCTTACTAAAATCTAAAGAATAAACAATTTCTGTATGTCCGGTTAATTTTTTTAAACATTTTCCACTTCCAACGTCCCATAACATTATTGATTTATCATTACCTGCATATTAACATAGATTGATTAATTGGCTTGATTTATTTTTTATTGTCGATATATTAAATAGAATTTGGTTACCAGAAGAAGCTAATAATCGACCATCATCAGATACAGCTAAACACATAACTCCTCCAGTATGTCCAGAAAAAATTCTAAAACAAGACCCACTACTAACATCCCACATACGAATAGATTTATCATTAGACCCTGTGAAGATATATTTTGAATTTGGATGAAATTTAACAGTCTTTTAAAAGAAAAAGAATTATTAATAAAATATTTATTAAAATATTTTTTTCTTATTAATTAATAATAAAAATATTATTATTATCATTATTATTATATTAATTCATTTTTTTTTCATCTATTTACATCTACATCTGATATATGCCCAGCAAAAATTCTTAAAGCATAAATATGATCACAGCTCCAAAGTCTAGCAGTTCTATCATTAGATGCTGTAGCAAAATAAAATCCATAAGGGCTAAACTGTATATCCCAAATAGGTGAGTTATGACCTCTGTAACACACAAGATTTGTATAAAGATCTGTACTCCAAAGTCGAGCTTTTTTCATCATCGATTAATGATTATAAACAAATAAAATACTAAAATATTTTAAAAAGAAATACTTTTTTTTTATATTTAAATTAATAATTTGTTCGTTTTTATGCATTCAAAGAATAATTTACCTGTGTTATCTTCCGAACAACTAAGTAAATATTTATTATCTGGATTAAAACTTAATCCAAATATTGGACCAGAATGTCCACGAAGCTTCTTATAATCACTTCCTATTTTTTCTTTAACATTTTCAAGGTCATTTGCTTTATTATTGTTGTTGTTGTTATTAATTATTAAAAAAAATTCATTTTGAGTTATAAATATGTGTGTGTTGTTTAATAGGTTCATGAAATTTCTTACAGTTATTCATTTCTAATGTATTAATACGGCCTTGAAGTCCCCTTAATTTTTCATGTTTTAAACTCCATATCTTGACATAAGATTCTGCAAAACCCCCAGCTATAAGGGTTGCATCTTCAGATATGGATAAACAATTAAGACTAGTTGAAAGTAATAATAATATTTTTTTTTAAGATTAAATATCAAAGAGAATTTCATACATAGAAATCCATGCTCTTATAAATTTTAATTCATTCATTCATACCTAATATATGTGTTGTAAAATGCATAAAAATACACAGAAGGAAGACTTGTAGGACCTAAATTTATCCGTTGTGTCAAATCTTTTACAAGATCAACTTGTGCTTGTATATCAGCACCCTTGCTGAATGCCTTTCATGTCAGCATAATATTTTTATATATAAGGTGATGATAAATTTCATGTAAACAAATTAATTAAACATACTATGGTGGTAATGGAACTGACGACCTAGGTGGTGAATCAATAGTTTGTTCTTTTTTAATTTTATTTATAAATTCTTGATGTAACGAAGGTATAGAATTTGTCATCATCTAATTGGCAATATGGAAAAGGGGAATGTAATTGTAATTACAATTACACATTCCTCTTGTTATTCTACTTTTACCCATCATTATATTATTATTCATACCTCATTTTCAATTTGAGTCCTTAAACGTTCATCTTCTTCCTTTAATCTTTTTTCAACTTCATCACGAAATGCTGGTTCCATTGGCATGAATCCTAATTGAAGTTCCTGCTTGTTAAATTCTTCTACTTCTTGTGAAGAAAAGACAGGAGCTCCAATGTTTGTATGTGATAGCCCAATATCTTCTGTCACTAAAATAAAGTAAAATAAATAATATTATAAAGTCACTCTCTCTTAAATTCAGCAAATTGATTAATTAATTACCTTCAATATTAATGTATTGATTTACCATTTTTAATAAAAAAGTATTATCTTGTAAAAAACGAATAAATATCTCATATGAAAACTTAGACATTGGAACAGGATACTTTTTTGAACGAAAGTTTTGAGCAAATTCATTTTCTTGAATATGTTGTGGCAGTGTTATATCTGTCATCTTGTTTATCTCAATCAAATGTATTTCGTGATCTAGTTGATATATATTAAAAAAATCCTTTGCTAACATGTATTCAATCAATTAAAGGTGTGATCGTGGTTGCTGGATACAAATTGTATTCAACAAATAAACAAAAATGCATCCA